CCAACCCCGGTTCACCTGAGAGTGATGATGAACCTTCCCTCTTAAGGTCTTTGACCCCAAAATGTACCCCGTGTGCTGTCTGATCTTACTTTCTGTCTCATGAGTTCTGTTCTTCTTGATCTAATTTCAGGAGTGACTAGCCAGCTAAACGCATTGTGGATCTAGAAGAGGAATTTGAAAACTGCCCATTTCTTAGTCACTCTCTTTTACATCTTCTGGGAGATTTATTTCATTAACTAGTTCTTTCATATACCTTGGTGGCTAGTTTTTTGCCTTGAGTACAAATTAGAATGTATCCCCCAGCTCCTCCCCCTCCCCACCCCCGTCTTCCATTTTCAGTCACTCAAGAAATAATCAGTTTTTGAACTTCATCAAAGAAGTAGTGATTTAGAGTCCGTGTTCAAGAGGAGAAAACAGTAGGTATGATTAGAAAATTCTCTATAATGGGGGAATCTGATTAAATACAGTTCTGTCCTTTCTTTTGGAAAGGCTAAAGCTTTGTAGCAATTTTTAGCTTGTTCACCCCTTTTGTTTTTTCCCCCCTTTAATGCCTATGCTAAAATTTCCTCTTGCGCTCATATTTGCATACAGATTCTTGCTTTAGGAAAATCACAGCTGACAAAATTATCTCAAATAGGCAAGAGATTTGATTCTCTGCAATCTTTGAAATTGCAAAAGTTAAGGAGGAAATGATTTAAACCCATCCAGGAGAGCCCAGTGGCCTCTTAGAACAAGAGCATGGCTTTAAGTGTTCAGGGCTGAGAAAGGTTGACATCTCAACATTGATGCCAGTGTCAGAGGTAAACACCTTGCCACAAGCCAACCTGAAGAGGCTGGCTGGGGTGGGGGAAGGGAGTGTATTCTAGGAAGTGCTTAACACAGCTGACATTTTCCGGGACAGAAAGTAAATAGGGGTTTTGTGTGGGTCTTTGAATACAGAACTGGTAAAAGCCCCAAACAGAAAAACAAAAATCTCCCAGAGGTGGGTTCTAGTAAAACACATCATGTTATCCACCTCCATCCAAAAAAGAAAAAAACAAAAACCCCAACAAGAGTAAACAGCACCTTTTCAATGACTCTTCCAATGCTTCACTGCACACCTGAGTTGGTTGATGGAGTTTCCTCCACAGGTCTGAGGGGCATTGTTCCCATTGTCAGAGGATGACCTAAGACCCACAGTAATCAGGCGAATTGTCTGCTCCTGAATGGAAGCCTTCCTGTCCATGAAAGTTGCCCCAAAGCTAATCACAGGTGATGTATGGGGACTGCATTCCTGCTAAATGCACCTTTCTTTAACAGAGTGTTTGCACCTTCTGATGGAAAAGAATGCCCCCTTTGACCCCCACTCCCAGGTTATTCTGTAGGGCCCAAAGAAAACTTTAGATTCAGTCCTCAACCAGACTAAAGAGGAGTTGTCACCTTTCTGTGCACAGGTGAATTTTTGTCATATCAAAGACCTCGTGTGTAACTTAACATCTTTCAAAACAGAGATGCAACTTGGACATGTCATTCTCGTATTTAAGGTTGTAGAGGCATAAGGATATAGTGAGATGATCAGGGCCCTCATTTGTCTCTCTCAGAAATATCATTGATTTGATGGGTTCCTTTCTGTTTGGAAGGGATCCACTTCTATCATGCTAGCAGAGTGAGAAGGATCTGATTCCGGCTCCACTCAATTGCTGCCTCTTTCACAGGAGGTTTGGAGGGCCACTTTCATGACCCTGGTCTGTAATTCTTGCTGCTGTCTTCTTATTTTCCTTAAACATCTTCCATCTCCTCTATTAAACACCAGGTTCCTGAAATGTCAAGGCCAAGGCTTTTAATCTCTCTCTCTCTCTCTTTTTTTTTCTTCACTCGCCACTCCCACCTACACCCAGCAAAGAGAATAGTACGTAATTAGTGCTTGGTAATAACTTATATTTGTAAAACACCTTGCCTGTTACAAGTGCTTTCATGGATATCCTCCTACCTAATTATATGAGTTGAATTGAAATTAACTGAAGTACTGAATTGAGCAATCCCAATAGGGGGTAGAGGTAGAAGACAAGCAAGAGGAATGGGACAGGGAAAGGCAGAACAAATGGGATTAAAGCTCAGAGTGAGGAGTGGCAGAGTTCTGCTGACAGATACTCCTGGGACATGCAGACTCCACTGGGTGGCTTGTCCTGCTACCCCAGGTTGACTGGCTCTCAGCTCTGTACAGAGAACTCCCATATTAATGACACAGAGTTGTATACACAAAACTGGAAAGATGAATTGTAGATAGAGTCATTCACTTTTTTTTTTCTGATAAGAAAGATGCTACCATATGATCCCTAGATCTACCATATGATATGTGCTGGTATATACCTACTCCTGGGTATATATCCAAGGAAAATAAAATCAGCAAGCCAAAGAGATTCTAGCAGACCGGTGTTCACTGCCCCTCTATTCACAATAGCTAAGATAGGGGAAATCAGCCTAGTGCCCATCAACAGATGAATGGTAGAGAAGAGATGGTTTATGTATTCAGCTACAAAGGAAAATGAAATTCTATCATTTGCAGCAAAGGAAATGGAGCTGGAGGATATTATATTATGTGAAATAAGACATAGAATGACAAAGTAATGTATGTTCTCTCACATGTGAAAAAAAAAGAATGTAGAACTGGCTGGGGATACGGGGCATGGCGGTACACATGTAGTTCTAGTGGCTTGGGAGGCTGAAACAGGAAGATTGTGAGTTCAGAGCCAGCCTCAGTAACTCAGCGAGTCCCTAAGCAATTTAGTGAGATCTAGTCTCAAAATAAAAGACAATAAAGGGCTGGGGCTGAGTGATTAAGTGCCCCTGGGTTTAATACCTGGTACAAAAAAAAAAAAAAAAACAAAAGGACTTGGCTGGGGGATGAGTGTGAAAAGTAGTTGGATATGATCTAGGCATATATGGTAATATCACACAAAATTCTCTTAATATGTACAATTATTTTGTGTTAAAAAATAAAAAGCCACAAGTAAGAACTCCCACCATGATTATTTATAACCCTAAGTTCATTGTTGTTTTCTTCTTCTGCTGAGAGAGTATTCCGGAATAGGGTTTAGCTAAGCCACATGAAAGGAAAGAGACTTTTCATTAGGGACATGGAGGAGAGGCAGCAAGGGAGAAATAGGACAGTAGGTTCCAGGTGCTCATGAAGTTCAAAGGAATTGGGAAGCCTTTGACAAGGATAGGAACAAGAAAAAATAGCAGAGATCGAAAAGAACTTTCTTATATCAACCAGGGAAATCCAGACTTCAGTTCAGTAATGAGACTCATGGAAAGCAAGAGGATTCAATTATGTTTTTATAGATCTCCAAAAATCCACTCCACTCTGAAGTATATCTTGAGCTCCTTAAAGTGAACATTTATTTTTCTATTATTTTCATAGTTATACTTCAACATGGAAATATGTATTTTATAATTCTATAGACAAAGGATTAGGACATAAATCTTTTGCTATTCCTTCTTTTCCCTGTTTCCTACAGTTGAAGAGAGTTTCACGGTTTGGTCAATTTAGCACATAGATACCAGACTGCCAGGTAGTATTCCCAAGAGGAAACAATGGATTTTGATGTGACTTTCCTTGCCCCAAACACACTTGTTGTGACAATACAAATGTCCATCTCCTCACATCAATGCCAGTTTTTGCAGATCGTCTACCTTTTTATACACCTTAGGTATGTAACATTAAAATGTGTAAATTATATCTATTCAGTTTCTGCCATTCTATTCTGGGACTTGCAATGGAGGAGACACTTTAGATACTATTTGATGATCATAATGAAACTGATAGAGGGAGACTACTGTAAAAGTCTTAGCTCTTTTTCCTAAGGTGGTTGCTGTTTCTAAGCCAGTTGAGCATGTACTTTCTCTCCCCTGATGCATACATATACCTTATCCCCACCCCTATTTTAAGAGCAGGGACCATTCCTAGAAATATGTAATGGTTGGGACAAACCTAGCTCTCACAGATCCGAATTGGGAACTAGTGAGAGTGCCTAAAGCCTCCAGCATAAACCTCTTTTGTTGCTGAATCGTGGGGAAGTCCTGGGGACAGACCAGCCAGTGGGTAGAGGTCTGGCATTACAAAGTCACCAAGCAGTAGCAACGAAACAACTGGTGCAGTCAGGGCTCCAATCAAATGTAAGCCCTGAGAGGACCTGTAGTGAGTAGGGATAATACTTAGGACCACACAGAGTGTGGGACATTTGTCCCTGGGCTGGGCTTGGGATGTAAAGATGAGAGACTCTGCCTTAGTCATCTACCGCAGGCAGTAGCAGGAAACATTTCTTCTCTACTTGCCTGCCGGACACCCTCCTATCACTATATTCTGCTCATTTCCAAATGGTGTGATTTAAATACATCTGTGTGTGGATGTGTATGAATCTTGATCTTAGACTTCTGAATAGACATGAGCTCCGAGTCCTCAGTTCCTATCAAGGTGCATGACACCTAGTAAAGCATGGAAGAAATAGGTATTGAACAGATGAATCAGTGGTCACAAAAGGATTATTCGGTCAAGAAAATCACCAAAAATTATTAACTGTTAGTTGTGTGGAAGACACATGAATGCTGGCTTCTGCCCTTGTCCAGGGTGGCTGGAGGTAAGTTAGTTTCTAGGCTCATCACCAGTGATGTTCCTCATGGAACCTTTGGGGCACCCGAGTCTAAGAAAGAGTGAGTGCACTTCCTTTCAACTGTCAGATCCATGACACTGTTTAACTGCTGACTACTTAAAAGATGAAGGTACTCCAATCCCTGTGGATGACCAGTTGAATGAACTCCGGCCAGACTTTTCTGAACCTTGAACATTGCTGGAGGAAATGACACTTTGAAGTCTCCGCAAAGATTCCCATCTGGATCATCCTTAGATAGGGGGGATTTTTCCCACCCCCGTCAATTTATTTGACTCATTTCACCCGTCCTTGCAAACAAGACAGAAATAACCCCTTGATGTTTTCCCTTTCCTTTTATTAACTATGTAGGTCTCAAAGGAAAACAAGAAAAGGAGTGGGCTGAAAAGAATAAATAAGTGCCACGGGCCAGTTTTTGCAGACTCCTCCATCAAGCTCCATGGGCCTTGGAGAAAATCGGAAGGCCTGTATTTGGTAAAGGAAACTTGTTGGTGTCCTCGCTCCCTCTCTGCTCCTGGCCAACCCTCTGCCAGCTCCTACCCTGTTCCTCAACCCCAGCGCCTCCAACTCCACCCTTCCTTTCCGTTGCCCCGGAGGGGAGGACATGAGTCAGCATTCAGACTTGAAAGTGTGAGCTGCCTCTGAGTCCTCAGAATGTAATCATTTCAGAAAATCTAGGACACACAACTACAGAGAAAGTCACCCTCCCCACCTCCTTCAGCTCTGTGGCCAGACATGTACTTCCACTCTCTGAACGCAGCTTCAGCTGGACCCAAATTTTAACATCAAAACCACCACCACCATCACCACCAAACGGTATTGTGGCGTGTCGGAAAGCAGCAGCACCAACCACCACCCAAGTGCAATGGACAGATTTTGCAGAGAACACCAACAGTTTGAACATCTGGTGTTTGGCAGTGTTCAGCCTGGGGTTGGGGGAGGTGGTGAGGCGGGGAGAGCAAGCAACATGTTCTGATCAGAGTCTCAATCCTAATCTTAGAATCCAGAATTAATTTTTTTTCCTTGGTTCTTCCAAAAGAAGAATACGTTGGAATACGTTGAAATTCCCTCCTGAAATCTTTCTAAAATATCTAGGCTCACCTTTAAATTGATGCTTTTTGGAATGGTACCAGCTTCACTGATTTTTTCATTCAGTCAACATTTAATCAGTCTCTGCATCCAGGTTTCTACTTTGCACTGAAAACAATAATAACTTCAGTACATGTCTCTTTCTAGTCCAGAGTAAACTCTTATCCTAGCTTTGGGGAAAAGGCAAACAGGCTCACACATGGGGCTGTTACAGACTTCATTGTGGATCAGACAGTTCGGAGGAGAAAATCTCCTTAGACTCCTAAAGATCCAACTGGTTTAGGATTAGGAGAAATCCAAGACCTCAGCTGCTCTCGTGTGTAACAATCTGGCAAAAAGTCATTTAGGAAATTATGATCCTTCAGATCCCAAAAGGGGAAGAATTGCTGAGCTCTTTATCATGCTCTACCTGCTTGGTTTCTTCGGTGCTGGGTTTTATCTTGCTTGAGTTTGAAGGTCTCCTTTTCCTTTTCCAGTGATCAAAGCAGCTCTGATTAGCAAGGGACAGTGAGAGTTGATGGCTGAAAGCTTAGTTGTTGAGTTCTCATTTCCAAATGCCTTGTTGCCAAAACAGACAGGAAGTGCTCCCACCAAGCTCTTATTTAATAAACGGATCTGGGATGTAACCTAGTTGCAGTCTGCAGAGCAAATGGAAAATCAGATCTTGCTCTGGCTTTGATGGTGTCCTGGTGGAAATTAGGAAAAGAACGATGGAAGCTCCCTCCTTCTGAGAAACGATGGAGATGTGCACCTTTGTAATATCACTGAAGGAAACTAAGAGGCCTCCTACTGCATGAGAAGAAACCCAAAAGGCAAGGCCACACAGCTGGATAGCGGCAGATAAGAGTAGAATTCTCGGTTCCATCTGCGGTTTTAGCCTTTCCCAACCCTCGACTTTTAGTCGTGCTGTTATTTCTGATGGGGTGAAGCTAGTCAGGTTGTGATGAGTCAGTGAAAGGAGAATGAATTTTTCAGTGTTTATGAATACTTTGTAAGAGAAGGAGACTGGTGTGTGTGTGTGTGTGTGTGTGTGTGTGTGTGTGTGTGTGTGTGTGTTGAAAGACTGGAAATATCCCAAATGCTTTCTCTATATTGTAGGCAACACATCTTTCTCAGTATAACTAGTTTGGCCTGAGGGTCAGTTCACTTTGGTAAGTTTTTTCAGGCATGGTTCTGTGCCTGAAAAATGCTCATGACTGTGGATAAGGAAAAGATGAGCAGATCTGGCTTTCCCCTTCCACATCCCATAGGCTGCTTAGGGGAATTTACAGGTACACCAAAGCTCTGTCACTAGGTGGACAACGAAGTCATTGTGATAGGGCTGAAAGCAGCGTAGACTGGGAGGATTAAAGAGTATTTGTTTCCGGATCAGGATTTTCTCTGCATGTTTGGAGTTTGAGGAAACAAAGCGAAGTCACCAAGGGGGTTGGCTTTGGAACTGGCTTCTAAGCAGGGGTCTATTCTGAGTGTAGAGCCTGGCAAAGGACTAGGTAAGTGGAGATGTGTTCCTTTTCCCTTTGTCTTTTCTCCAAAACTTTGGGACTTTTTGAGGAGTTGTACATAGTTAATTCAAGTGATGACTGTGAAGATTATAGGCATTTCAGGGGCATTCCCAGCAGCCATCACCCAAACCAAGCAATATTCAACATATTGGAGAGATACTCAGGGTTATTCTCTTAGATGTTGGTGTTTTGCTTTATTCATTTCATACCTATACTTTGTTTTACAAGTATATAATTACATATGTTATGTGCATGTGTGCACGTAATTAATTAATGACATGGTAATCTCCAAAGAATAATATACTTGCAAGGAAATTAAAGTCAATCAAAGATTTTCCTACAGAACTTGTCCCCTTTTTGTTGTTGAAAACAGCCATGTTCGTGAGATCACTTTGGCTAGTGAGAATCCACAATGGCTGCCTGCCCTCTCTCTTTTCCCATCCCATCCTCTCTCTTTCCTCCCTCCTTTCTTCCTGTCTTCCCTCGTCTCTTCCTCCTCTTATCTTTGTTTAAGCTGTAATACATCTGGAAGTACAGTTGAGGGACTCTAGAACTTCGTTTAATCCTACAAACCATATGACTTTTAAACTAAAGATATAGTAAAGTCCCCTTTGATGTAATTCAAGGTAAGTTTAAGATATTAGAACAGATAATTTTTACAATTGTAAATTCTTAAAATGAGAAGCTCTTAATATTAGTAATGTTCACTGAAAACCAAGAATGGCCATGCTGTTATTCCCCATATTGTGGTCTCTGCAGAGAGTTTTAAAAAATGCCGCAGCCATCAGAAGAGCAAAATCCAAACAAACAAAAAACCCCAAAACACCACAATACCAAGTCCTGCTGAGGACAAGGAACAATTGCAAGTTGAGTACATGCTGGTGGGAGGCTAAGTCATTAGGACACCTTACAAGACTGTTGGGCACTCTATCCTGAAGTTGAATATATGCAAGTCCTATTGCCCAGCATGGCACTCCTACATTTACACCCAAGAGAAATGAATGCATGTGCACCAGACAGGTTCTAGAACATTCCCAGCAGCACTATTTGCAATAGCCCCCAAGCTGGAAGTGACTCAAGTGTCCATCAACAGAGAGCTGGAAACAACTCAAATCTCTGTCGACAGAGGACTAGGTAAAGAAAATGCACTGTATTTATACAACAAACAAATTATGACAAATTGCAACGTAGGTGAATCTGAATCCCACTAACAGGATGTTGAGAGAAATAAGCCAGGCACAAAAGAATATATATACATTAAAATTTTATTTCTATAAATCTGAAAAACAGGCAAAACCAGTACCTGGTTTTAGAAGTCAGCAAATGACTGCTTTGTTAAGAGGTAGCCATGGAGAAGGGTCATGGAAGAAGCTTCAAAAATGGGCTTTATATTTTATTTCTTAATCTGGGTTTTGGTCCATGCAGGGTGCTCATTTTTGAAAATTCACTAAGCTCTAAACTTATAATTTATGTAACTTTCTGTGTATAATTAGAATTTAATAAATAGTTTGTGTTTTACCTTCTGAAATAAAAATTATGGGTACTTTCTATTTCTTTATCTGAAGGTATCTGTTTTTACTATTCTTGTGTTTAGGGAAAATATTTTTTATTTTACAAACTAAGGTAAGTCGATCTTCTATATCCAAATCTATATTTGGCTTAGTGTTGAGCAACATTATGGGTGCCAGGTTTGAAATGATATTAAAGACATACACAGCACATATGTGTCCTAGTTAGCAAGCCACATTTTCCTTAACCTTGGAAAGACATAGGGTGTTTACATTTGGGGACATGGTAAGGGCAGGGAAACAGGAGGCTGATGGTCTTTAGGCATACGGATGATCCTATGAAACATGCAGACCTTGGTCAGAGTGTTCTTGCTGTTTCTTGGCACAGGCTTAACAGTTTGTTCTTTGGGTTTCTCCATCTTCTCCAGGACTATGTTGAAACCGTGGTAGGACTGACCATGCAAGAATGATGGAATTAGTCATTTTGTTAAAAGCCCCTAATATGGCAAGACCAGTTAGGGAATGACCATGCACACTGAACACAAAGTTCTTTTAACACAAAAGGTGGATGAAGAACACTCAGGCAAAAGGCTGAGATGAAATGCCCACGCAAGAGCATGCTTGCCAGGGGCAGGCAGCTATGGGCTACCCTGCCTTGATGTCCTTAGAAGTCCAGATGGCCTGTTTGAGGAAAGCATCACTTTGATTTTATCTTGAAGCCCAAATTCTGAGGAATGCAGTCTTCGTGGCATGGGAAGAGGTCTGTGAATGTTTAAAAAGTGTGTGTGTGTGTGTGTAGTATTAAACTCCACTTCATGGATAATGAGTATGTCTGAACTTCTACTTGCCACATCAGCAAGAGATGTATGAATTCAACACCTCCTTTAACAAACATGATAAAATATTTTCTAAAGAATTCCCCACACATATAAATGTATGCTTTTGTCCTTTAGCCATTCTGTTTCTTTTCTCCGGTAAGTTTTTTGAATATATGGTTCGCATAGTGTTTCCTCTCTATCTAATCCCTCCTTAACGCCTTGAAATCAAATCTCCATCTCCTCCTCTTTAACCTCTTTACCCAGATTGGCTCTTTACCCAGATTAGAAGTCATCCATTGCCACTGCAACCTCTGATGTCCTTTTGGTTTCATCCTTGCTGTCCCTTCTGTGACTCTCTTTAACTTTTCCCACTCTTATTCTTGGAAATTCCTCGTTCTTTCTATCTCTGGCATTGTCACCCCCTTGTTTTCCGCTAGCTCTCCAGTTCTTCTGATGCTTCCCACGTGTCTCTTGATTGCTTCCTCCCTCCCCCTCTTAACCAGGGTTCAGTCCTTAGTGATCCACTTTTCTTTCTGGGCGCCACAATGTGTAGAAGATTGTCCCTGTTCTCATGGCTGCAAACATGTGCGGCCGATGACTCAGATTTACAGCTCACGTCCTGTCCCTTGCTCAAGGTTTATTCCCATCTCTGTGACTGCCCACTGGTCATTTTCACTTGAAAGTCTCCTCAGTGTCTCAAACTCAACAATGTCTAACTGAGCTCATCATCTCCCCCACAAAACCAGTTCCCCTTCCCAGTTCCTTGTTCATGCTCCCGCATCCTAGTCTCACGGTCATTCCTGCTCAAAACTTGGCAGTTTTTAAGGTGTCTCTGGTCTCTATCCTTGTTCACTCCACAGCCTTTTCCCGGCAGAACTGATAATTGTCAAGTTCCACTGCTTTTTTTCCCTAATACCTCTCTTTTTTCCCTACCAGGGAACTTAACCACTGAGCCACATCCCCAGCCATTGTTTACATTTCATTTAGAGACAGGGTCTCACCAAGTTACTCAGGGCTTGTTAAATTGCTGAGGCTGGCTTTGAACTCACAATCCTCCTGCCTCAGCCTCCCAGGCTGCTGGGATTACAGATGTGTACCATGCCCCTGGCCTCCTTTCCATTTTCTAAAGTGAGTTCTCCTTGCAGAACTAGGTCATTATGGTCCCTTCCGGGCCAACTTCCAGCTTCTCATCCTCCAAATCTGATCTCATATTCTCGATTGGTAAATTTTCCAGAAGCACAGCATTTCCCCACCACTCCCGGCATCCAGTTTTTTGAGGCCTCCTTTCTGTTCCTTACACTTCTTTCACATTTTAAAAGAAACAGTTGCTTTTTTTAAAAAAAATGTGCTGAATGCTAGGTTAAATTCTACTTGAGAGTGGATACAATGACTTCTCAATCAAAGGGAGTCCTCACATTCCCACCTTCCTCCTACCCACTAAGTTGAGAAGGAAAAACAATATGCAAATAATAGAAAGGATAAAGAACTAGGAAGGAATTAGAAAATTATAAGTGCTGCTACCTGCTGCAAATAGAATAGTAAGCCAGGAACCAGATCCTTGCATCTATCTGGGAACATGTGCTGATTTTAAAGCTCTTCTTATTTTCAGGCTCAATAGTGGTAAATTCGAAGAACAGAGAATTAATATTTGACCTGGTGAAGGACACAAAGAATGTTTGATATTGATCATGTTTCCCCTTCTGGGTTATAAGCCATCTGAAGAAGGGGCTGGCTGGTATTCTCTAACAAATTTTAGAGTGCTGAAATAATTGTTGAACTCCTAGGAATTTTTACCAAATTCCTCTTGATTCATTTTCTGAGTGACTATATTTAGGTGTTCCTTATTCACTTTGTGACCTCCATGGCTCAGCCAATCACTGAAGCCCAAGTTCAAGTGACTCAAAGGTAAATTTTCATAATGCAACCATGCCAGTGATATAGTGGGCCTGATGTCTTGTCTTGGATTATACTAGGACTGTCACATCCCCATGTACTTTCTTTAGAAAAAGGAACCAAAAAAAGACTCTTTCAATTCAGTTATGCCAGATGTTGGGGAAGAAGATGTTGGAAGAAGATAAAATAACCAAGCAAATTAACTTAAAAAGGAAAAAAGTGGCTTAAAAAAATGTCATTGAGTTTTTTTAAAAATCTATTTTTATTTAAAAAGGGAGTTGGTGTGTGACTTTGTATTTTGTTTTTGAAATCACTTTTATTTTCCTAACCACACCAGTTGATAAAATCCAGATGAATATTTGGCTAGATGAACCCCCTGGATAGCTTTGTCAAGTGATGTCCATCCAAAAAAGGTCATGCTTCTTAATCCCCATCATGGACCACTATAAACCAGAGGCAAACTCAGGAAAAGCTAGATCTTTTAATTCTATTGAAGACCATGACCCTTGGTCCACCTATTGACCTTGTAGGAAACCACTCTTCTCTTGGTCTAATGAGAACATGGGTATCTTCAAACAGACAGACCGAGTCAAACATAGCAATGTTTGCTGTTATGTTTACAGATTTTGCAAAAGG